CGGGTGGAGGGGTGGGTAGAGGTGCCGAAGTCTTCTGGGCAGGGACCGGGTCCTCCCCCTGCGCCTCCGCTTCCACCTCCTCGTTCCGCCCGACATCTCCCTCGCTGGAGCATCTGCTGTCCCTCGCCGGGGCTCCACTGAAGAACCCTCTCGCTTCTCACGCAGACCCCTTCCAGGACTCGAGTCGGTTCCAGGAGACTTGGCTAACAGAAGGTGGGCTCCTTCCCCTTGTTCGTCTTTCAGTTGTTTGTCTTTGGGGGTTTGTGCTGCTCCTTTGCTTTGTTTGCCTAGCTGCAAGCATCGAGTCTTTTATTCAGAGTTGCCAATCTCTGGTTGGTGTAAGTGAAGACGCCTGAATCGCACTATTGTGCTGGGTATTTGCTTATAAATGGAACTTGGCATTTGGCCCATTTTCCCACAATTTTCGTTTCAGGCTACTTGTAACTAGTTCGATTTTACGCTAATTTGTCACTTATTTTTGTTGTTTGCCAGAACATTGATATTTTCTTAAACAAATAATAAACTATTCTTTTAATCTGAGGAGCAAAGTGTTTTTCTTAAAAAGAAAAGTTAAGACAATTCTTTGAGGGGACCTTCCTGGAATTTACACACTACATTCTACCATGGTGACTCTCTTTTCTAGGATTTTAACAAGATAAGTTTCCCTCTGAAACAAACTATTGTTTACTTTTCTATGTTCACTGATATGACAAATTATTTTCTTGAATGGCGAAAGTAACTTTTTTCGTTAATGTCTTGTTCATGCCTATATGTTAGCATTATTTCACAAGATGAAGGCAACTGAGAATTTCAGTACTGTGCTAAACATTGCAGAAGAATAAGATAAGATGGTGAAAATATGACATATGTTGCATATTGGCTGCGCCTACCACATTTAGTTAAGAAATTTAGCTATGTTATTTTATTTAGAGTTCTTGGTGTTACTTTTGAAACAAAAGAGAAACAAACCTAAGAAGGAAGCAAACTGGAAATATAAACTCACAGCAGTCAGTCATAAGAAAAATGTATATACATGTGTATGTCAGGGTAGATATTTGTGCTATTTCATCCACAGAGTTATCTCTGTTGGCCTTTTAGAATACTTTTAGTAGTGTCAATTAATATCTGATTTCTCCTTAGCAGGGTAAAAGAATAATATGTGCATATGGATGACTCTTAAAAGAAACAGATGATGAAAAATCCTAGGCCTTGGTACTAAAAATTTAAAGCTTTCCTCTACACCATTTTTATCACAATCTGTTAGACCGAAATGGTGTGAAGCTGGCAGTTGATAACTGTATGGAACTATTTTGAAGCCAAATACTTTATAAGAATGATTTGGCATTTGGAGAAACAAAAAACTTCCTTGGAGAAAAGTTACCTGTGCTGATTGCAAGGTGGTGGAGACACACTTCTTTGTGTATCCTTAGGCAGAAAGCTCCAGATCTTGAAAGCAATGTGGGAGGTGGTGAGGCATGTGTTGCTGCATACAGTGTGAGTGACTAAAATAAGCCTAGGGTTGAGCTTTAAATGCCTGATTAGGTATCCCAGTTATTTTAAGTATACATGCTGGCTTTGGGAGAACAAGAAAATGGCTATCTGTGACGGAGCTGTATGAAGTGGATAATGAATATAAAAATTTAAATCTTCTGGCAAGTGACACTTCAGCCTTCTAGTATAGGACTGTAGCTTTCTGTAAGCAGCACTGTCCAGCAGCAAGGCTGCATGCTCTCACTGCAGCCCTGCCCCTCGCATCACAGCCCTCAGCACATCTTAGTGAGACTGTCAGCAGTTCAACAGACAGTAATAGCCTCAAGGCAGTTGGCTTTGAAATCCAAACTCTGCTCACACAATGTGATCCCTGTTATTTCTTCTATTACAATGTTGCTTTTTAAATATAATTCATAAAATGATTTTTTAGGCGTGTTTTTGTGTTCCCCCTCCTTTTATCATTTATATTTCCCGTTTGTTGTCATATGAGTTATTTTAAGGAACAGTGATTGCAGTGCAAAGAGCTTGACTAGTTGCGTTTTAACCCACTGCCTATTAATGCAGAGTTATTCCCTAAGGTTTATTTTTGGCATGCCTTGTCTAGCTTAGCTTTAAGTGGCTGAGATTAGTAGGCTTCCCTTTCTCATGTCCCTTTGTTTTGACTACATCACCTTTGCTTTAGAGCTGAGAGTGCAATATTTTGTCCACTCTACAATTACAAAACCAAGTCTGTCTAAAGCAGCCTTTAAGCCTGAAGCTTTTTAACATTGACATGCTCATATTGTTCATTATCCCACTGCTTACCACATTCAGTAACATGTTGTTCCGTTGAGGTAGGCTGTCCCAAGGTAAATGAGGCCTCTGCAGATTTTCAGATCTCTTTATCTGACAGTCTTTGAAATATTCAAATATCTTAGACCTTGCTGGTATTCTTGGAGTTGTACTAACAATGCTGTCCGCAGGGCTGATGCCTAGAAATAAACTTTATTGTACTGATTTGCGGAGGAAGAGCAGCTGTTTGCTGTCAGGTTCTCTACCAGCACTTCCTCTTAAATTTCCCATTTGTGAAATCACATATACATGCAAGGCACTATTAACCATTTCCCTCTGCTATGACTGGATTTTTTTATTATTTTTTTTTCCTGAAAAGTTCTCCTGCTGATTTACAAATTTTAGCCTATGCCACTAGTGACAAGCTATCCATGCTTCTGGAGCTACTGAAAAGTTTGTATACAAAGGCATAGCTGTCTTCCATTCTGCTTATCACTTAGGCATAGCCTTTCCAATTTTATCAGTTGGTAAATGTTTTTCCTGTGCTAAACGCTTAAAAATCCCTGCATCGTGTTTCTAATGAAAACTGAACCCTGAGCTAACGAACTTGCTGTTGTCTGTATTTCCGAGGTACGGAGGAAAGAAATTGGCAGGCTGTTAAAGGGTAAATCTGCAGGCAGAAGAACGATATTCCTTAATCCCAAAGGGAAGCTATCCTTAGTGACTAAATTGCATCCCAACAGATAGCTCAAACCTTTCCTGCATAGGCTTATTTCTGCCTTATTGTTAATTATACCATATGAAGTGCCAAGTCTAATTCTCCATTTTCTCTCTCTCCCCTCTCTCTGCTTCTCCCTTCCCTCCCTCCCCTGGCAGCTCAGGTTCCAGACAGCGATGAGCAATTTGTGCCTGACTTTCATTCAGAAAACTGTAAGTAGCATGGGGGTGTTCAAAAACCTCAGAGAAGAAGGGCAGGATACTCTTAAAGCAAACAAATACTTAAACCAAACAAATGTGTGTAACGCACAGGCATTGAGGCTCAGGGACTCATTTCATTTCTACGTTGCTGTGGCAATGACACAAAAAACCCCAAACCTCACTGTCCACATCTGGACAACACAAAAGTATCTTTGCACACTGGTAACTACCACAGTCCCTTGAGTGGTTTCAACAGACGTGTGTTTGAGTGGGTGTATATGTAAGTAATTAGGCTCACCTGAACAGTTGAGAAAATGCATTACTGTGACAATCAAAGGTAAAATTTGTGCTGTTACTTCTCCCAAAGCCCTTCCCAGGCTGATACCCCTTTCTGCCCTAGACATTTTACCCCCGAAAACCAAAATGAAGTGCTCGTACTGGTTGTTCTTGTCTACCTCCTTTCCCTGGACTTGGCCCTGCAGTACAGCCAGGCTTGCTCTCTGAGTCATGTATCTTCTTTTTTCCTCTTTTTGACCTAGAACTGAGGCGAGGGCTAGTCTTGTTTTACTGAACTGATTAATGAATGGACTGGTTGTAATGCAATAGCCTGTTCTGTTCTGGTTATTAGAGGTTGGAAAGAATTGGCTGTTCCTAGTACATCTAGCTTCTTGAAACTTTGGTGG